CACCAGAGCCTCCCTTTTCCTCTTCAAGTCCTGGAGCTTTCCAAGGGAGTTCTACCCCCCTCCTCCCTCCCCCCACCTTGTCCACAGCACATTGAAGGTAACGCCGGCTGGTGGGGGGGGCTCAACGAACAACACATGTCTGTGTGGATAAGGAAACAGAGGCCAGCATTCCAGAAGTCTTGGCCTGGGCAGGCAGGGCCTATTGCTCTTCATTCATCTAGTTCATCTGTGCATCTATCTATTTCAGTAATTTTATGTTCATTTTTGTTCAGAATCATAGAAACCTTCTTTACAAAAGTTCAGATTTGTGACGTTTTTGTGTGACATGCAGATGGTAATTATTCACTGAAAGAATTTGACAAGTTCATGGCATCCTGGGCCATGGTTACCGGGCCCGAGGCCTGCTTAGAGAATATCTACAGCCCTTCCACGCCCAGAGCTGTATTTTTTCTCATTTACCTAACATTTCTGAAACTTAATAGACTTTTTAAAAGTTTTTTTTGTGTGTGTTTTGTGTCAATCTTGGGGCTTGAACTCTAGGCCTGAGAGTTGTCCCTCAGCTCTTCAGCTCAAGGTGAGCGCTCTACCACTTGAGCCACAGTGCTACTTCCAGTTTTCTGGTGGTTTATTAGAGATAAGAGTCTCACGGACTTTCCTGCCCAAGCTGGCTTTGAACTGAGATCCTCAGATCTCGGCCTCCTGAGTAGCTAGGAATAGATGTGAGCCACCGGCGCCCGACTTGCCAAATTTGTATTTATAATGAAAGGAAGTGGGTTTTTTTAAATTTTGGAACAAAATGACACAGAGTGGGTGGCTCCCATTTGGACAGCTTCAAGCTGGTCTACCACACTTTCCCCTGCTTCATCATTGTTACATTGAAAAAAACCTTCAGATTTAAAAAAAAAAAAGAAGAAGAAGAAGGAAAAAAAGATGGAATTCTGGGAAATTTTTCTCCAAAATTACATTATTTTCATTTTATCACATTAATTTTTTTGACAACCTGGGCATTTCTGTTATTGATATGTGTTCTTAAATAAGCTCAGGTAGAATGTTCAATTTTAAATAAGATCAATTTATTTCTGCTATTCAGGTTATAGGAGGAAAAATTCAATGTTATTTTCCTAATGTCTGTTACCTGTGGTGAGTGGCCTTGGTCTCCTATCAAGACCTGTGGGTGGCAGGAAGTCACCCTCCTAAGCAGGCTTCTGCCACCTGAAGCACGCATGCCAGCGCTGTGCTCCAGCTGCCGGCTTTGCTCTCCAAATAAAGGCTACCTAAAATCTCTCATTCCAATTATGTCCAGATGCGGTTCATTTTTTCCAATATACAGAACACTGGAAATTCATCAACCTTTATTATTCCTCCTTTAGCTTTCTAATTATATTGTCTAATAAAACTAAACAGTCAGTGTTATTTGCATATTATATGAAGAAGTGTCACACAACAAACTCATAGCAGTCAATTAACATAAAAGCTAATTATATATCTCATCAGCTTACAAGAGTTCCTGGATCCACACTTCTGTTGTGGCCCCCAGCAAGGAGCTTTGACTTTGCACTTCTAAATATTGACTTTTAGCTAATATCAGCAGCGGTTCCATTTTTATGGATGAAAAGTTAGTGATTAAACTAGATGCAATATTTGCTGTCATGCAATTAAAATTTCCACATTAGCTAACCCTCTAGAAAGAAAAATCTTTGCAACAATGTGAAATTAATTATCAGCCACTCCGCAGGTTAAGTTCTGGTTTCATATCTGAAGGAAACTTCAAAACAATGATAAAGATGAATGAAATGCACCGGCGGTCGTGAGCCTAAAATGACAGACAGACACAGGACCACGACAGTTCCACATCAAATTGTGCACTGTAACATAATTGTATTCCGAGCGGTGACAGCTATCAAGCAAGAAATTTACTACAAGATTAACAGAGACACAGTAATGAAAACACATGGCAAGCATCCTGTAATTGACTGTTAGTAAAGTGTCCTGGTGATCTGTAATAAACTCCACAGCTGCCATACTCGGGAGAAACGAAAGCCAGAACTTTCCTCTACTTTTTTTCCTGCCATTTTGAAGTTGAGATATGGGATCCTCCACCCCACCCCTCACCCCTCACCTCTCTTCTGTTGCTGGCTGAACCAGTGCATGGTCAAAAGCAGTGCAGACACTTCTGCATGCACCGCGTTGCTTACGATTTAAAGCTGCAGATGGTGTTCAAAATTGGGAGAAGTTGGGATTTGCTTTGATCCAGGTACGGCAAGATAGCAGTGGGATGGCCAGGGTCTTTTCTCCAGTTCTAACTGGTAAGAGATGAGTCTGGGTGTAGCAGCCATGGTAGATAAGGACTTGGGCCTGTGAATCCCCCCCCCCTCCTCACCGGGCTGGCGGGCTCTGGCGGCCCTTTCCATTCGTATTGTAATGAGGTTGGTGACTCGGAGAGCAGCCACGGAGGCCGGGGAACAGGCTTCTGGAAGACTACAATGGGACGGGTTTTATGGATGAGCCCCATTCAAAACTGTCCTGGTATAGAAAGAAAGACTCGGTTTTATCCCACTTGTCCACATACTTCCTGCACACTCAGAAGGGAGGCCCTCCAATGTGGGCAGGGCGCGATTCTTCTCCCAACAGTCTTTAAATTCACGGAAGGCAGTTCTGTTCAGGGAACTATCTTTAAACTTGGATCATGTGCATGTCCAATGTACTCCAGGGTGGTGATCGACATTTTAAAACCTAGTTTGGGGTGTGTGTGTGTGTGTGTGTGTGTGTGTGTAGAACCTGCTGTTTTAGGATTTTAAGATGGAAGTGTGTGTGAGCGATGAGAGGCTGTGTGCTGCTTGGGTGAGCTCCCCCTCCATCTCCGCAGACACGGTGCGGCCTGGTCTCCTCCAGCATCTGCGAGCAGCTACTTCCTGTCTTAAAAAACCCAAAGGGCAATTGTAACTCCTTTGTACAACTATTTAATAATAATATTTTTAATTCAAAGCTAGCTACATGTTGTTTAAAAAAAAAAAACAACCCAGGCCACCTTCACAAACTTAGAAAATTGTAGAAATTCGCATGTTGTTCCCTTTCTAGAATGTATTTTTTGATCAAATGAGACATTATACCCCATATTCAAACCCACAGTTACGCAGCGGGCAGTTTTCACACAGTGCTACCCAGGAAGTAAACAAATAGCTCTCACAGCAGGCTGTGAGGCCTTTCACACACGCCAGGACTTTGTTCAGAACTTATTCACAGGCTCAGTACAGTACTTCACCAAACGCTGGGTGTAAGCAGGCAGGTCAGAGATCCTACCAGGGGGGCCCTCCCCCCAGTCCCCCAAACTCAGGGCAGGTTTACTTTTCCAGTGGAGGAAAGGGAGGAGAACGGGAAGGAGAGAGTTAATTTCTTGATTTATGTCAAGTAATCAAGATTATTATTTTGTTAAATGAAAGAGTCCCCCATTTTATGTCAAGGGGATGTACAGAGGGGAACGGGTCCCCTTTCTAGTATAACCCTGCTCTGTCCACGTCTAGAAACTACTATGGATATACCTTATGTGTATTAGATAAGAGAATACCTTAAAACCCAAGCGTGACAGGAAGGGGATGCTCGCTCTGCGTCACCGTCACCTCGGGTTTACCTCTCCAGTCCATGCCTTTTCCCGGGACTAGCTCCTGCGGATCCTGGATTCTCTCCTTCTAACAGCCGGTGCGGTTTCTTCCCGCAGAGGCTTGAGAGGAGGCGGGGCCTTGGGTTAGCGCCCGGGCATTTCCGGGCATTTCTGACCGCACGCGTAGCCACGTGCAGCCCGCGGGATCTACCGCGGAGGGGAGGGGGGGCGCGACCGCCAACCTGAGGGCCCCCCCCGCGCCCTCTCTCCTCTCCCCCTGCTCGGCCAGGCCACGCTGGGTGAGGTGTTGGCAGAGGGCAGGCGCGTGGAGGGCGGGCTCGTGGGCAGGGAGGGCGCGTGGGGAGGGAAGGAGGGCGGGCTCGTGGACAGGGAGGGCGCATGGAGAGCGCGCGCGAGGGAGGGTGCGTGGGGAGTGCGCGTGCATGGAGAGGGCAGGCACGTGGAGGGAGGGTTCGTGGGCAGGGAGGGTGCGTGGGGAGGGATGACGGGCTCGTGAATAGGGCGGGCACGTGGAGGGAGGGTGCGTGGGGAGGGAGAGCGGGCGCGTGGAGAGCGGGCACGTGGGGAGGGAGGGCGCGTGGAGGGCGGGCGCGTCGAGTGAGGGAGGGAGG